TCAGTCAAGGAAATAACTCTCTTAAGTTTTTTTTTATTAAAAATGAGGACTGCTATGTCACGTGAAAAAAATATACAGGTAATCCTCAATTATAGTAATTGGGACCAGAATTTCCATCACTAAGCGACGCGGTCATAAAGCATGACATCACGTGACTGAATCGCTTAGCGACAGAAATTCTGGCATTTCTGATTGCCGTTGTTAAGCAAATCCTGTGCCATTGTTAAGCATGATGTCACGTGGTCACCATTTGCAACCTCCTGCCATCTTCCTCATTGACTTTGCTTGTAGGAAGCCAATGAAGACAGTCGCAAATGATGATCAAGTGACCGCAGCATGCTGCCGTGTTGTAAGTATGAGGACATCATAAGTTCGAACAGTCACTGAATGAGTGGTTGTTCAGCGAGGACAACCTGTATACATTATTTCAGTCACCAGAGCAGAAACATTCTGGGGGGAAAACTTAGCATTGCTCAGCAGGAATGCTCATTAAATGTTTACTGGTAAATGTGTTGGTTACAAGTAAATCATTGTTTAATGGAGACTGGCCAATTCTATTACAGTTGAAGCTACACTAGAAGTGCCCAATCAAAGTGCTATTTTTGGTGTTAAGAAAGAAACAACCATCCATTTCTATCACAATCATGAGAACAGCAGCAGGGAAAGCTGCTTATTTTTTGAGGAAAAAAGGGGACATGTAATGACCACTGTGCCTAAACATGACAGCATTTTAAAAAAATAGTTGCTTAACTAATATTTACTCTTTGGTCATAGCAATAATTGATTTTGCTTGTTCTAAAGTGGTAAAAGATTAGGTACCTACCTTTCACACATTCCAGTCTTTATTGATGCAAAGGTACTACTATAAATGTATGCTAAATTGCCCAGATTTGCTTTTTTTTACACTTTTTAAAGATCGCAACAGCTGAATTTTGTTTTTATTTTAGTATGGCTTCAATATGGTCATGTCACACCCCCATGCTGTTAATGAAATTGCACTAAGTCTGAACAACAAGAATCCCAGGTAAAGATCTCTTTTGTGTTTAATTTTTTTTAATGTGGCTGTTGTTTTTCCTGATAAAAAAATAGTTCTGTAAGAACTTCATTTGCATACCGTACTGTCTTCAATTGAGATTGATTTGTTTTAATCTTAATTGATTTTGTAAATTCTATTTCTATTTGTATAAAAATTTAAGGAGACTTTAATGCAGGGCTTAAGAAAGTACTGAATATTTGTAAATCTTGCTTGAAACTGTTGGCAGGATTAGCAAAACATTCAAAATATTGTTTTTAGATGTCACTGCATCTCTCTTTCAAAAACTGAGTCATCACATTATTCTAATGGGCTTCTCTCTCCCTTTTCTGCACAGAACAAAGGCTCTGGTCTTAGAACTGCTGGCAGCTGTTTGTCTCGTACGAGGAGGGCACGAAATCATTTTGTCTGCCTTCGACAATTTTAAAGAGGTAAATCACTCCGTTTTGTCAGAGGGAACTACCTGCTTTGCACAAGATCTCTGGATCAGGTCTGTGGCAATGCAGTGGTTGACCTCTGCCTCTGAATCAGCTAGCTGCTTGTGTTGGACATACAGACATCTTACTCTTCTTTGCAACACCCAGTTCAGATCCAGTACAGAAAAAAGTGTTCTGATTAAAGTGAGGCTACTATGCTTCATAATGCACATTTGCTTATAGAAGCCTTTATATTCCACCTTGCGAATAAAAGCTTAAATCCTATCAACTGGTCTTTCCTCCACATGCCAGCTCTTGATCAATTTGTCCCCTCTTTTGACCTACTGTGCTTACTGTAACCAAAATGAAAAAGGCTATTTTGGAAGGGAAATGTATTTGGCTTTGTTTTTTCTTTCATTTTAAATGCCTAAATTGAATTATTCAGAACTTCTGAGTAGAAGCAAATGAACATGTTATCATTATGAACGTTGTCTCAATTCCGTTGCAAGTGTAGAGTCCTAATCTCCCTCTTCTACACTTATTTGCTTTTAAGATAGTATAGATGATGGCGCCAAAGCTGTGGAAAAGCTTATGTACAGTAGATGATCACAGTGTGTACCCCAGTCATGATTTTGTTTTTGTGGAATCATCTTATATGGAAGTTCCAAATTAAGGGTTTATTATTCTTCAACTTCACTGTAATGTTCATTGGGAACTAAGAGTCAGAACAAATGATGCTAAGGAGAACAAAACCAGAATGATCTTTAAAAGTGAAATTAAACAGCAGATTGACAGTTGCTCAACAATGAGATGGTGCTTTCCATGTTCATAAAATACTAAGGAAGTACTGTAGGCCAGCCTTTCTCAATGTCCTCTAGCTGTGTTGGACCTATAGCTTCCAGAGTTCTTAGCCAGCCACGTGATTTACCGTCCGGAAGGCTCTAAACTGGGGAAGCCTACTCTTTCTTCACAGAATAAACAGTAGTGAATTAAATTCATGCATATGCTATTATTTCTTTTTTCTTACTATGTTGGACAATATTTAGTAATTGGGTGTGGCACCCAGCACACTGTCCCAATGGCAGGATAGGAATAGAGTGCTGGAGGATCATTCCAGCAACAATTTTTCTAGTTTAAGTGCTGGAAAAATAGAATATTGATGAAATGGAAGAGGAAGGAGATTCTTGAGAAAAGACACCTGGCTGTTCTACAAATGATGAGGAAGAACTTTGTATTTATTGCAGGAAAAAAGCTGGCCTAGAAAAGCAGCTAAATTATATTGTCACTGAAAAAGGCTTGCTACTCTGTATGTATTAATATATCTTCTCCCCAATCAAGATTTAATACACTGCATTTATATACCAATATTGTTTGACCATTGAGTGTCAAAAGAACACAGAAGATCTTTACTTTATTAGAATGATAAATGAAGGCCTGTTAACTTTTATTTATGAACAGCTGAATAGGCAGGAAGTCAAGCAGACATTTCGAGCTGGTTCCAGTAGTTTAATCTAATTTAATCCTCCCTTTAAAACATCCTGCGATAAATAAATTACAAATATATTGCAGTTATCTTAAATATTGTGACATGGCTTCATTTTTATTTTTATTTTATATCATCATAATCAACCCTACTGAAACTTCACTGTACAGTATGCTCTTTTCTCTTTTCTGAGAGTCTGTGTTTATATGAGTTCGAGTTTGATTTTTTTAAATTGTAACTACTCTTCTTCCCGTAGTGAAACTCTTTGTATATGATATCCAATCCCATGTAGTACTGCTAACCGCATTCAACTGAACAAGCTACAGTTCTCTTAGGAACATCCTGGTCTTCATAAGGAATTGGAGAATGGAAGGGGTGAGGCTGAACATTCTCATTCCCTTCCTCTTCCAGACAAGTACTGTAGAGAGTACAGGATCTGATAAATCCTGTTAACTAGACTCTTAGATGTTGGTTGCCAAGACAGGGCTGATAAAATGAATAAATTTAGACTGTTATTTTTAAAAAAATAAAAGATAATTAATAAAATGATTTCTCCCTCATGGAAAAAAAAACCCCTATGACCTCTTCTTGCAGTCTAAATGAACATATTGAAACATATTGGGTACATTTCTGCCATCACTGGTTAGCACAAATATACCTGCTTGTAGCCAATGGCTCCCCTTTCTTCAAACTGGGGCTATTAGCAATCCACCCCGTGGTGGTTTTATATATAGTTAAGAGTACCATCTCAATAAAAGACAAAGTATACTTAAGCTAACCAGAAAGGAAGCAAGGGTGAGAATTATAAATGGGTTGATAACAGATGCAAACTGCCTGTCCTTCATAAAACAGGCAGGTATCTATCTCCTCAGCAGAGACAAAGGAGACAACATGAAGAGTTTTGCTGCCCCAGAGTTGCATATATAAAAAGCATTCCATGGATTTCTTCTGCTACAACTTTTATTTTCCTCCTGATAAATCCTGTTAACCAGACGCTTAGATTTTTGTTCCTTGGGTGGTTTCCAGTCCTGTCTGCAAGGAGTAAAGTCTGATTATTTACAAAAAATTGTTTGCTCTGTATTTGGATGACATAATTGTAAATAAATGATGGGTTGCTAGCTTCATGATTGAGGAATCAGTGGTCAAGCACAAGCCAGCTAATCAGCCTCTGTGGTTAAGTATAACGTGTGAACACAGTCATTGAGTTAGCTATCAAATAAGGACATTTTAATATTTTGTTTCATATAAATGGCTCTGTTTAACTTCATTACCAGCTGTTGGTTTTTGAAAATTCTGGCCATTATTCTGACGTAAAAGTAAAATGTGCAGAGATATCAATTAGATAAGATTGGTCCTCATGAAGCAGAAGTTTTCTGCCTTCCATGACTTTGTGGTGCCCATCAGCCCTCTTCAGATAAGATAAAGGTAGAGATAAGGGTGCTGCCATTCTCAAGGGTGCCTCCTTGGAAGAAAATTACCTTGAAATTGTCAGAGGTTACTTTTTCTCTCTAAGTGCATAAGAGGATTTTCCTGAATCTGGGACTTGTACAGAGATGAATAGAGATTCGAATTATGTAGTGTAACTCAGAAGAAGAATTTACTGCCAACAAGCTTTATCCTTGTTGATCAGTGTAGCTATTTGATTTTAGGATTCGCAACCAATACATAGGAAGACTTGAGTCAATCCATTTTCCCTGGAGCTGTAATCTGTAAATGATAGGGCCAACTTATTTTAAAGAATTAATTAAAACAGAAAATGTTTTCACCCTAGTAAATGACTCTTTGCTTAAGCAGAAATGTCAAGAAAGTTGATATTTTGTTCCCTCAACAAGCTGTCAGGACTTCATGGCAATCTGTAAGAAACATTCTCCAAAAACAGCCCTCCCCTGGAGTGAAATTGGTGGATCACATCAGACCATTATGCTAAGAATAAAAAGGGATCATTGTGGCATCACAATACAGAAGAGCTAAGAAAGAAAGAAAAAAATGTTTAGAAAAGTGCCATGTTAATATTTAACAATGGATCATGTTCACAGTTGTTTTCCAACTCTTTCATCTGTTGACGTTTCTTTGAATTTCTTCACCACCTTCAGGTATTGCTAGTAATTGCTGGGGAAGTAGAAGATTTGAGCATGGGTGCCCATTTGGTTGAAATTGTGTGATGATCTCTTATTTCTTTATGAGAAGCACATATTCAATCTGCAGGATCAGATTGCCACATTCACACAAAATCCCATTTTATATCGTTCAGTATAAAAACTTAACAACCACAACAGTTGTTCCTCTCAAATATAAAAAGCACATCTGTACTAGGTATTATTATTCCCTTTGTTATTTTTGGCAGCTACATGTTGGCCTATATCTCTTGTGAAAAAGAACTTATTGAATGTATTCTGAGATGTATTTAAATAGGCAAATGTCATTCTGTTTTCATTAACATTCCAGTTCCAAACACACTTACTAAGAAGGAACTCTTATTGAAATAGATGTCTCTTGCTCCTGATTTAGTGCACTTAGATTCATGTCAAAATATATTTTAAAAATGAAATAAAACAGAAGGAAGAGAAATGTTTTAAGTTGCAGTTCAGTCTGATCATTAATTCTGCATATAATATGTCTAGAAGTTGTAATACATAGGATAATCCAATTATTTTGGGACAAACACATTATTTAGTGCTTAGTTCTGGAATCTAATAAGAGCAGCAGGTAACGTGTGCTACCTATGCCTGATTTTATGAAGCTTGATTTTATTGAAAAAAATTGGCAATCTTGTTTCTCCTGTATACATCAATCAATTGATGAAATAATCAATGCTTTTTTTTTTTAAGCCAGGGTTAAGGATGGTTTCCTAAGTACCTATAGTTAAAATTAACTCTAGATAGTCCGGGTTCATACACAGCTAAAAAAAAGATCAGTTGGGGGAAGTCAACAACATTAAAATGGAAGGCCCAACTGGGCAATCAAAAAAACATCAAAAGGAACAGTGCATGAGGCATACATTTTAAGGGGGTAGGGCTTCAATAGCCTGGTCACAACCACCATTTTGACAGCATTGACTACCACTGTCCCCCCATTCCCTCCCCGATGCCCCTGATTATAAGTAATAGAAAGCGGAAGCCAACGCTTCTGATCTCTTCTGTGTGGCAAGGGAGAATGGAGGAGATACACTATATCAGTCTGGAAACTCATGTTGGGATGCAAAACCATAGTTATATGCGAACAGCTACTTTCTGTCTATGCATGTGAATGCACCATGTAAGCAAATGGTTTCTAAAAGAGTTACAAACCATACACTTGAGAATTTTTGGACAACATTTCCAATTTGGGATGTTTAAAGCCATTGGTATATATGGATGGTCTGAAATAGCAGACAACAGAAAACATATAGCTGTTAACTAGTTGTCATTACTCTTGATTACATTAAGAGTACGTTACATGTAATGCTTGAACTTCTATTTTTCTCCCAAGCCAACATCCATTCTCTTCCTTCTGTTATCTCTGGCACTTATTTTTCTTCTCTCTTTCTTGTTCTGTTCTTATCTTACCCATCTGCTTTGAAAATGCTGCTCTCATCTATCTTTCTCTTTTATTTTTCCTGAATTTTATTTCAGTCAAGCAATAATATTACAGATTTTAAATATGATGAAAAAATACACTTGTTATATGCCAGGCTACTTCTGATATTTCAGTGGGAAGAATATTTTAAATCTTATGCCTGTTGCTTTAACATTTTCAGATGACAGCTTTTTATCTTGTCTTGTAACAGGGTCAACAGTTGCAAATGGTATTTTGTTGCTCCCTTTGACTTTCAGTTAGTCCAAATAAGTGTGGATTTATGCAAAGAATATTAGTAATCCTGAAGCATCGCTGTTAATGATGTTGTTAGTCTTTTCTCTGTTTTTTCTCTTATTGAACTTATTAAGTGAAGACTGGAAAGTAATCCCTGATAAGGTATCGTCAAGTTCAACCCAATGCCTCTGATTCTTACACTTATCCCTAGTATTTATATCCCACTTCTATTCCCACCCTAGGGTTCAGAACAGTCTACATATTTCCACCGGTAATACCCATCCATTTATTATCACAGCATTCCTATGAAGTAGGCTTTAGGTTGTTAAACAATGCACGGTCTAAGATTATCCAGTGAGATTTGTAGCTAAGTGAAGAGTTGAATCAGAACTGCCAGTTCAATCTGAACCTTGCTAGTTCAACTTTCTGTCATCTGTACCATGCTGAATCTTGGGTCTGTTCTGCAGAAGCCATTGTATACAGTTACCTTGTTTCCACTGAACATAGTTAAAAGTGGTCATCTTTTGTTGGCAATGCAACAAGTTGTAGTTAATAAAAAATGAAAGTGGATGCTTCCTGATTCTGGATTTGGAGGGAGGAGTTTGTGAATTGAAGACTTTTTCTTTTAGTACTAAACTGTGGTCCAGCCTTAATGAATGAACCAGTTGTTGATATCTATTTGTCCAGGGCAACATTCCCCCTGCATGTTTCTAGCTTAAAATGGTTTGATGATGTTATAGCATGTTTCCTAGTATACTGATACATAATAGAATCGCTCTGCAATTTCTTCCCAGGTTTGTGGGGAAAAGCAGCGGTTTGAGAAGTTGATGGAACATTTTAGAAACGAAGATAATAATATAGATTTCATGGTAGGTGTGTGCATATATTTCACTTACGAATGTGTGAGTTCTCCCTCAGCTTTCACATTCTGTGCCATATTCCCATCCCATCCCCAGTTCACAGGTTCATTTTTGGAATGGGATGGACAAATCCTAATGCACAACTCGTGGACCCTGCTAACAATGTTGCTGTGACTAAATGGGCCTAAAAACGTTGGGGGCGGGGGAGACCATTTGGAGTAGAAGAATGAAAAATGAATGTTCTTCCAACGCACTTCAAGAAGTATTAAGCATTCCTACATGTGAATATTTGTCTTTCTTAAATCAAGCATCTGGCCAACCTTTTCTGAACAAAGAGTCTAAGCAGTATCAGGCTGTTAATACTTGGAGGGGAGACCTCAAGAGAATAGCAAGACTGTAAGCTAGGTTGGAAAGATGGAAAACATTCCCAGAAGAATACTGCTGCTAAGAAAACTACTAGACAAGTCCATGAAGTAACCAGGAGTTGAAATCAACTTGAAGGAGACTTGACATTATCTTAGTGTTGGATTAAACTTCAGAGCATATTCAATAGTCTCCTGGGATGTTCCCTTGCCTTCCTTCATAATAGCTAGTGGAAAATTGGGAACAATGAGATCTGAGTAGTTAAATTTCTCCCAGTAATATAGTACCTAAAGTAGGCGTAGGAGAAGAATCCTGACATTCTTTAGGGCAGCACATTATGCCCATTATTTGCAAATGAACAGACGTGCCTTAAACGACTGTTGAGAGATATTTTTACAACATAGAGGGGAATAAGGATATCGGTATCTTGAGCTTAGGATAACATTTGCATCCTTTGATTGTTTTTATCAATTTCTCTCCCCTTCCTTGCTGTGATTAAATACAATGATTTTTGTGGACGGCATAGTTGAGAATTAATGGCACATGTTTGGAGAGATCATTTATGACTGCTGCATCTGATCTAAACTAAATCCACATGTAGGTATGAAGCACTCGTGCTGTATGTCAGAAGGATTGGGAAAGGAACTGAACTTTGTATGGTGACCTCCTGAGCCCACTCACATTATGGAACCATTTTGGTTTCTAATTTTTGCTGGTGATTCCTTCAGAGAACAGAAACTGGCAGAAAAAATGGTGGGGAGATGATCCAGCAAGGCTCTGTGATACTCTCTCAACTTGAGCAATTAGAGCGATATGTCAATGAAATAATCTCTTTAAACTGTTTTTAGCCAGACAGGAATCCTGGATGGTTCTTTTCATGATACAAAGAACAGAAGGAGAATTTGAAAAGACCCAGCTGTTCTTGTCAAGCCAGTGAGCTAGGGGTGCTTTTAAAACACTCCAGATATTTTGCTTTAGTAGGCCACAGTGCCTGCTCCTTACTGAGGTGCATGATTAGGTTGGAAATCAGGATTTGTCCCCCTTAGAGCAGCCACTTACTTGACCCAGATCATTCATTCTTGCTGTACTGGTTTGTATTAAGTCAGGTTTCAGATTTGCAGCAGGAGTTTGCAGAGTGAAACGGAAGCTTTGATGAGAGGAAGTTTAAAGACTTGTCATTGTCTAGTGTATCAAGAAAAGTAACATCCTGATTTACAGAAACATTTAAATGATTCTGTCATCTTTTCCCCCCATTCCTCTCTGCAGTTGTCCTATAGTTAGAGAAGTAGAAAGAAGTTTTTTTTAGTGATTTTTACCTGAGGGCTATGCCTCTTGACTTTGTTTTGGACACTGCTGTCCCACTTAACTGAATATATTTAAGTTGAAGCTCCTGAAGTTTAAAACTTTGAATTATTCATGTGAGTATTATAGTTATCATTTGATCAGTATTACTGCAGAATTACAAAGCACCCACAGTCTTTGGTGAAATGCAGCAAGCCAGATTAGTGGACATTGAGAAGGTTGCTGCAGTTCTGTGCTCACTTATTGGGAGTATACCCCACTGAATACATCTCCATGGGACATACTGAGTTGGGTTGATCAGCCTTTGCTCAGGAGTCCACTTTCCCACTTGGAAATAGGCCTGTACAGTGATCCCAATTGGAAGAGCAAAATGTAATTTGGAAAGTGTGTGAGTTGTGCATAGCATTTGTCAGGAAGCCCTTAAACGAAACGAGTCTTTTCCTAGCTTGGAATCTGGATTATGGCACAGCCTAGACCAGTGTTGTCCAAACTTGGTCACTTTAAGATGAATGGACTTCAACTCCCAGAATTCCCCAGCCAGCAGGGGAAGTGGCCAAGTTTGGACAACACTGGTCTAGACAAATATAATTTCTGCAAAGATTCTCTAACTGCATTTGCTATAATTCTGCTTCTCTTCTCTTATGCCCAACTGTCAGGCATAATCTTGGTAAAATCCAAGAGGTATATATGACAGCTTTCTATGACCATTTTTTCTGTTGCAGGTGGCGTGCATGCAGTTCATCAACATAGTAGTACACTCAGTAGAAGATATGAATTTCAGAGTTCATCTCCAGTATGAATTTACAAAGCTAGGCCTTGATGAATATCTGGATGTGAGTACACTCTGTCTGTCCTTAAATTGAATTTGTATGTAAGCCAGAACAGTATTATTGTATAATATTG